AGTGGAAATATCACATTAAAAGAATATCCAATAAAACATACGTGAAAATAGCAAAACTATATGCACTCATAAATAGCCACTCCAGACTAAGCATATAATGTGGGATAACTTTATTCAAGTCCATTATTAGAACATTTCTTACTTACGCTTGCCCTGTCTGGGGTAGAGCCGCAAAAAGTAACCTAGAGAAAATCCAAGTAGTCTACAACAAATATTTAAGTTATATAATCAGAGCACCAAGGTACGTGTCAAATAGACAAATTAAAAACGAACTGAAAACGGTAAACTTGAATACTTACATCAGAAGGACATATGTAAAATTTTTCGAGGAACTACCAAAAGAGGAATATATTAAAGACTTTAAGACGTTCAGCAGAAGACATCAAAATTATTTCAAGGAACCTCAAGGATAAATTACGCCCGCTATAATCGCATCGTTAAGAATATAAATTGAATATAAAAAATATTAAACATAGAAACAACATTAAACAATAGAATGTCACAAATTCAAAATAATTGTTTGAAAAATCCAAAAACTAAATTAAGAGAAACATAACAAAGTGAGAAAGAGCTTCGACTAAATGAACTACCTGCCTCTGCCCTAACTCAGCGCTAGTATTAAGTCATGCTAATCTCTGTAAAATCAATGGATTGAACAGATAGAGCTGTTAAAAATAAAAAAGTGATCAACTGCGCGGAGGGGTGATTTCGCCGTGAGACCCGTGCCACGGACTCCGGCTGGTGGCATCAACCTTGACATCCCTTTTTTTAAGCTACGCTCTGCAAAAACTCCCTTTTGTCTTTGCGCGACAGGTAACAACGACCTTCACAATAGCAGCTGGGATGATACCGGTAGAATTGGGAGTGGCGTCCATCTACAGGGAACGCGTGACGCCAGTTGCAGGGCTTAATCATCCAGAGCGTGTGAGAGCACTCTAACGTCAGAAGAAGTGTATTATGTGTATTTTGGTTCCGACGCCATGTGGCCGTGTATTGCTCTTCCTGAGTTTTGTCAGACACAGCGAGGAATGGCGAGGTCATATTTATGACCACCCACATTAAAGAGGCAATGAAGGTGTTGGGAGACGAGGCTCCACACATCGGCCTTCGCAATTAACAAACATTCATGTGTTTGTCCAACGCATTTTACGCCGAAGAACGTTTTTGAGCGACACTTTTACCTTGCAATTTCGAGGAGTTTAATTTGCCGTGCGTCAGCACATAATAACTTCGGTTGGTCACCTGATCTAACTAATGAATCTCACAGCATCTTAAGCATTTTATAGATTCAATTTTAGTATCAGTTAACATTGTCTGACAAAACCCAGAAACCCAGTGCCGCTCACCGGGAGGTCCTAGGATTGAGTCCCGACAGTGATTTTCTACACTAGCTACATAGCTAGGTCGAATTCAGTCGCTGTCACGAGGAGACTCCTTGCGGTCGGCTGCTCTGATCGGTACTTTACCGTGGTTTCTCCGACCAACACCAGAAGAATTCCTGAGAATTCTTAATAAATGTGCCATTGACCGCGCGCGACCTTTCCTTCCTCTTCCTTTTTCATCAAGCCTTACTTACACGTACATTCACTAAATTATAACACATGCCGGGAGATCATTCAGGAGCTTAAAGCTTGTTTCGGCTGGGACAGTGCCCCGATGGTGGAAGATACCTGGCTAGGGGAAAACCCCGCAAACCGACGGGTAGATCGGCGCCAGATTTCGCCGGGGAACGATCACTGCCTCCTCCCGCAATAAAAGTACGCACTACACTTACGGGAATAATTAATTTAGCATTGGATGCGCCCAGAATCACTAATCAATCAATGAAAAGCCAGGAACCGCAGTACACAATTAGATACAGTCAGAAACAAAGCAAACATAGTTTCTTCTACTTTCGCTAGATTGCTCTCAAATGCACTGGATCAAGACTCCCTGCAGATGACGTCACGCGTTCCCTGCAGTCAGATGCCACTCCCAATCCTACCGGCGAAGGTCGCCATCCCCGCTGCTCTGAAGAATATTCTAGAATTCAATCAAATTGGCGCAGTAGACTCTCGCTCAGGCATCATCCGCGACATGTGCTTGGTTTATAAGAAATTTTCCCTCCTATGCGTCTTCCTTTACTCAAAATTTGCCCTAATCTTATTTTAGGTGCTTCCCAGACTGAGGAGGTCGTCGTTAGCCGTCTCACACGCAGACACACGCGTAACCATGAGCACACGAGCGTAACCCAAACAACGTCTGCGTTTTTACAGGCGTCTGTACTCTAGGCACAAAAGAGCACAACGGACGTCGTCTAGCTCGCTCGTGTGCCAGTCTCTCTCTATTCGTATCTCTAACGTCCGTTAAAGTGCTCTCGTGTGTCTCCTGCCAGAAGGCAAACACGGCAAAATACTTCAAACACTATAAAAATGTCTAAATTATTCAAAGCATTTATAAAATATTTTTCAAATATACGTATTATAATTTTATTATTTATATTTATGTTCAATTATTTTAATAAAATTGTATTAATATGAAATATTATTACGCAGAAGAATTGTCTAAGATTCTAGTAGATTTCAAAACCGATTAGAGTTTTGTAAACATTCATTAACCATTCGAAGTCTTCATGATGAATCACCACTGAAATCATTAATGGTGAAATTAGTTACTAAGGAAACCGGAACGTTAAATTGGTATCCCTTTGTCATTTTTCATTCAGCACTGACCTTTCCCCAATTATTTTTATATTTGCCGAAAGTATAGTGAAAGAGTATATAATATTTATTTATCAAGGATGGAGTGGTAAAACCGATGTTCTTGTTACAAACTTCTAGCGCATGTAAGGGGTCGAACATGATCAAGCTTTGTCAATACACTTGAGGAGGAAAATATCATATAACTAAACTATAAGTGTGGCATTTGTCCCTGATTAGTAGGCAATTTGTACATGATCTCACTTTCATCAGAACGTGAACCTGTCGAACACCAGTAGTTAATACGAAGACAAGTAATTATTCTTGTACCCAGTACATTGTGATCAAATGTTGTAGCGAGAGAAGTGAATGTAAAAACATAAACACACCCATATTCGATTTGTGAGTTCGGTGGAACCGATGTCACGAAAATATGCCACATGTGTATTTCATATACTGGTGTTTGTTAAATTATCACTTTATTTAACATAAAAATATACGGTCACATCTTCGACTGCCATGAAGAGCACAATAATAATACTCAATGATTAGAATTTCATCATAGACTTCGTTGTTTTTTTAGATACTCAACGAATTCGTCGGCGTGTGTAAAAAAATGTTCATACACCTTAAATCCTCTAGATTTCAGAAATCCCAATTAATTTGTATTCCAGAAAGTAAAACCAACTACTACAATAAATTGTTTGTGATAACTGTAGTGTGAGAGGGGAACAAACTGCGCTCCAACATTACAAACTGCTCTGGTTAAATTATTTTATTAAACACCTGAATGCTCTCCTCATAAGGAAAACATTTCAAATAAAAATGTACATCACTTTACTACCGGTTGACAAATCTAATCTATTTTCATTATGTGTCTGTCTTAATAATGACACAACCTGGTATAAAAACGAATTTTTTAGAAATATGATTAATGTACTTTTGTTTAAAAATCGTCATGTTTACGACGTGTTCTTACTGCCGGATCTGTATAAATCCGTAAGTGCAGCAGAAGATCACATTCAGACGACAAATACTGTAATGTACCCTAGCTTTCAATTGCATTATTGCATTAGGTCTGCTTGGTGAGTTGTCCCTGACTAGCAGGTTTTCTTGCAGGGTTAAGCAGCGAGAGAGGTGTTGTGGATTGTATCTCGGGACTTGTTAGTTGACAGTCGCTCGAAGTAAATACAGGCCTGCTGCGTAGACTGCAGGCACATGGAGCCGGAGTTACCGTACCACTCACTTGAAATATCTTCAATTTCCATCTTGTTTTCAAATGTAATTGTGTATTCAAATTCCTCTCTAACAACTGTGTATTTGTTATATGTATGTTTAACTCCGTTTTTTTTTGTTTTTATGTGTTGTTTGGCAAATAATGTTTGTAGCACTAACAACTAACTTGTCTTATTTTGTACATACTACATTTATGAGGTTAGGTGGAAGACCTGACTTGATGGCCCGGGCCTGGGGTCGTTCATAAATAACGAAACGCTAAAGAGGGACAAGAGGATGGAGCCAGCATTGTGCTGTGTTACATAGGGGTAGAAGATGCTACTTTGATGTTACGTAATGCTGATATTTATTTCATTAAAATTTTCAAGATTTGCCGATTATAATTCCGAGTGTAAACTGTTACAATAATTATATATTTTTCCTCAATGATATATTTATTTAATTTGTTACATTACGAAAAAAATATTCAAAATTAATATATAGAATATTCTGAAGTCAAATTTATATTGCCACAGTAGATTTTCACGTTTGTGTCACCCACGGCGACATACTACTGCTTAGAAATTATCCGGCCTATGCGTCTTTCATTCACTCAAAAATTGTCCCTAATTTTATTGTAAGGTGTAGTCAGCATCTGCAACATATTCTGCCTTTAATTATCATTAATCTTCACATGTAACACAAATAGAGTTAATAAAAATTGTTTTTACTCTTAAACAAATTATTTTTACTTATTGTAAATAGACGTATTGTCGTAAGCGCCACGTAATTATTTAGGAAAGTTCAAGCACATGTACGTTACAGGGGAATAGCGGGCATTCAAAATGCTCCAAATTTGCGTTATGGAATTTATAGACAACACCCCGCCATAAAAATAAAGCCATTATTAAATATAGCAATTTTGAATGTAGTACAATTTACACTTTCGTCTGCTATATAACATATTACGATAGTGGTAGTGCATCTTGGTGCGGTTTGCCACTCACGCCAGCTGCTGCCACCGCTTCTGTTGGCTTTTATCAAATCTATTCAAAGGTGACGAGAAGAAGCAAAGATATAATATTATGACAAACTAAATGTACTCACTTTTACTTTGCACCTGCAGCTGGCACCGAGCAGCTATCCAAATTGGATTGAGATCTGATATTGGACTTCCCGTCATCAGATTTCCTCCCACGGCCTGAAATTGAAAACAAACCGAGAATTATGGAATTTTCAATAAAGTTTCTTCAATTCCTTTTCAACATTAACTATACATACAACATACTAATTGTTCCTATAGCATTTACATACCGCGACGTTTCTAATTTGCTTTCCCGCAAACCAATGAAGCATGTCCACAACTGCAGAAAATATCCTTGTTTTGTATTCTGAAAATGAACAAAGTTGAATTAAAACTTGCTTTTATTTTATTTATAATGCTCATGCTCTTCTTTGTAATGCTGTGAAAATAATCCAGAACACGCACGTCGAATTTTATTGAAAGTTGTCAGACACTGATTCTCCCACAAAACATACCCTCAATCTGTGTAAACCCTAAGTTTCCCGTGATCCTTAATTTACAAGTAGGCCTCTACCATACGCTTTTTGAAAAACTTGAGATCTTTCAGAAATTAGAGTTACTACAATAGCACATATTTTCTCGCATTTTTAACGGCAACGCCATATTATACGACTACATGAACTTGCATAAGGGTTTTCAACCAGAAAATATTTTTTAACCGCACCAATATTCGAACTTTGGCCCTTCGAATCAACACAACCACTACGCTATACTACCATTATCACTACACCATCCGTCAGAAGCTGAACTCAGAACCAAAGTTATTTAAATGAAATGTACTCCTATTGATGAATCTGAGACAATAGCTAGTATTTAAGTAAGAGAACTTCAGAAAAAATCGGAATCGGAATTTGTTGTCGCCAGCAAATGCTGCCACTATATTAGTGCATTTGCTGGCGACAACACAAATAGAGGAAAGTATCCAAACCGTGGCCCGGTTCCTAATGTCAACCTCTTGATTTACAGCTCTGTGGAGTGTTGTTTCCTAGTGGAAGTAGTTCTTTGCAAGACTAGCCCTGTCAAGTAGTGGTGTCTTCATTTTTACTCTTTGCCGAACAGTCCACCATTAGTGCGAATAGTGAAAAGCAAAGTTTTCTCCGAAGCCTATCCGTTTGAGATGGCAGGAAGAATAAAGAGGTCAAGAGACACTTTCAGAATTTAATCTTTGAGAATCGAGAGATACAAGAAAATTCTGAAGTTAAACAAAAAGCGAGAGGAAGATTCTACCTCCGGCGAGGAATTGAACATGTCCTCTGGCTCTTCCGAATTGGACGTTCTACAGTGTCTTGGAAGTCTGCAGTGTAAACTTTTCAGAGAGCTGTAGGAGAACTATGGATGATGTGCCTAATGTGTTCACACTGAGCTCATGTAGAATGTGTGGGGTGCAAAGAAAGATGCGTTTACATGTGACTTTCGTATCACTTGAATATACAGGCTATGACCACGACATACAAGACAATTTCTCGTGTATAAGATGTTAAACCAACATGTTTGTAAATTTATAATGAGTTCAATATATTTTTAGTTGTTTATTTATTTTTACCATTTTATTAAAAACGTTTGAATGTGCCGCAAAGTAAGGTATGCATTTCAAATCATTTACTTTAATTGTGCAGAAAATAGAGTTTCAAAATAGAGTTAACAAAATGAGTGCCGGGTTTGGGTAATTTCCTCTACCAATAAATGGAATTGGAAGGGCTTAGGCTTTCAATGCCTTCAGCAACTTGAAAACAATGTTTAAATCCAATGATTGAGGGGATGGGTTGTTCAGTATACTCGTATGTTTTGCACAATTGTAAACAACATGATCTTGATTTTGGTTTAAACACAAATATTGATACAATTGTATTGAAAATATTCAATTAGTTTTCTATTTATATCGTACATGTAGAAAACGAAAAGGTTTCTGTGATTTTGTTTAAGTTGCTTGTCAGTAACTATACCATTCCAAAACAGATGACTTTCACCATTACCTGGCAATGGAAGACTGATTAATATATTTACAGTTTTGAAATCATATTTTTCTTTTTAAAACTGAATTCCTATGCCAATTAAAGATTCTTTGAAAATGAACTAAGTCAAGCATAATTATTATTTGTCAATTTTTTCAGCCACCAAATACTTATGGTAAGAAAGTGGAAAAGGCAGAAACGATTGTCAAGTACGCCTATCATGTGATTGTAAAAGTGATGACAATGACTAAAGTATTTATTTTGTCAGTTTTTTGTCTTTAAGAAAAAAATTATTATACTAAAACATATGAAGTTTCCTTTTTTATAAAAAACATCTTTTTCCAGAATGGCAAATATCGTAAAATAGAAGGTATACCTGGTTCAGATTCAATTACTTTTCTCATAACAATTTCCATATCATTCAGTGTGACTGATGCTCCAACAGACACTCCACTTTCAGTTACATTGATGGCAGATAGTTCAGGAACCATACTTGGATTGATGAGGACTGGATATACACAGTTTTTGAACTTTGTTTCCACCCCTGTTAAAAAATATCATTTATAATTTTTTTTTCTAACTGGTCAAATACCATCTCTAGTAGATAATTAGCTATAATATCTACAGCAGATGTCAGGATTCAGATACAAGTTTATATCATCGGATGTAAGTAATCGCAAGCATAAATGGAATTAAACAACGACAATTATTGAACTTACCAACTTCTGTGTTTCCTACAACTATACGTGCATCAGGATATTTATCCTTCAAATCCAACAAATCAACAATATTTGTTGGGCGATACCAAGCAGTTCTCTTCCCAATAAAGCTTAAATTTTGTTTATCCAGTTCACCTGAAATCTATAAAATTAACATGAATATATAAACAAGTACAATCACAATCACACTGTTATATTTTGATAGAACATTAATGTTTTTCCATGAAATTATCATTATATTTCTGTTAAACTAAAAGCACAAAATAATTATTTGAATAAAAATTGACATTTAGTGGAGCTACAACAACATATACTTTATCGCATTATTTATAAATTTGCAATTTTCAAAAATTCAATAAGTTCAACGAAAATAAGACCCGTGAATTTCATTTAAGCACTCCTTCACTAGGTGGAAATGGTCGGAAGAAAAAATTTAGAGCGCTTTTTTGTCTGTCTCAGTCTGTCCCTCCGTCCGATCTGTCTGTCTCCGTCAGTCCGTTTCCGTTAGTCCGTCACCGTCAGTCCGCCACCGTCAGTCCGACTCCATCAGTCCGACTCCGTCAGTCTGTCTCCGTCTGTGTCTCCGTCTGTGTCTCTGTCTGTCTCTTTCTGTCTCTCTCTCTGTCTCTGTCTGTGTCTGTCTGGGTTTGTCTCTGTGTCTGTCTCTGTTGAAGTTATACTCTAAAGACTTTACAGAAAATGTGAATTGCCCCGTTTTTATATGCATTTCAAAACAATCCAATAATTCTGTGTCAATTTTGAGAAAAATGTTTAAACGTTGTTACGGCAGTGTGGTAATTACACCCCAAAATCAAAATATCCATTTCAATTGCGCAGTTAACCCAGATCCTCGAGTTAGATTGTTCATGTCAAGATCCAGAATTATCGATTAATCTGTTTCAAACTCCCAGGAAATGGATATCATTCAGACTGAGTAAAATCTCTGAATGGTTAAGGCGCCAGTGTTGATCAGCGACTGAACGAATGGGACAGAGAGAGACAGAGATCAAGGCAGAGATAGGTAAGAAGAGAGACAGAGAGAGACAAAATAAAAAAATGCAGCCAATATCCAGATTTTACTTACTCACCTTACGAATTTTTCGTAAGAAGAGAAAGTTATGTAATCGTACGCCGAAAAAAGCCGAAATTTCGCCAGAAAAAACCTTACTGCCGGGCACTGGTAACGAAGGAGTAGATAAATCTTGTGGCTAAATTTCGAAAACGAATACTCTAACTCGTGGTGTAGCCATAATACATGTTTTGTTGATTCTTCATATCGAAAAATCGTTTGACGGCAAAACGTCTGTCCGTCTGTGGGCAACGCTAGCGCCTAAACCGTTCAGCCAATTTTCTTTAAAATTGATATTCCTCAATCGATCTGAAATTATCTCGTGGCTTTGGGAATTTCGAACGGATATTTTGATTTTTGAGAGTACTTTACATGAAGTCTCAAACACATTTTCAAAATTTTCTAAAAAGCGGCTCTAAATTTTTGATTAAATTTTGTCGTTCAATAGTACAAAGGACGTCTAAGAAAATGCTTTAGATCTCATTTTGGCTGACTTCGCCGATTTTTCGAAAATTGCCACAAATTTTTTTTTAAAACTACAACATTGAAGATAAGAGTTTTCTGGCCCAGACTAAGTCTGTTGTACAAAATGAGGTCTTTAAAAAAGGTCATGTACATTTTTTTTGTAAAAGTTACTGGTTTTGCTGTAATTTGCGCTTGAAAATTACGTTTTTCTCCTCAAAAACGGCTCAAAATTTTTTTCTTTGAATTTTCTTCACACATATAATAAGGGACGGTAAGAAACATGGTGCTGGTCTCATTTTCAGGTATTGCTTGTCTTTTCCGCAAATTACAAAAAACAATTTTATAAGTACAAAATTGAAGATAGAGATTTTTGCCTGAAACATAGTCTCTTGTACAAAATTACCTCTTTAAAAAATGTCATGTTCAATATTTTTGAAAAAAGAAGTAGTTTTTGCGTCACTTGAGCTTGAAATTTCCGAAAAACATTTTTCTCAAATACAACTCTATTTTTTCGCTTTAATTTTTTTTTCAAATTACCAGTAGATAAGAAAGAACGGTAAGAAACATGGTGCTAGTCCCATTTTGGGGAATTGCTCGGCTTTTGAAAAATTGCAAAAAATAAATTAAAAAATAGAAAATTGAAGATAATGTGGCGTCGTTAACACGAGGGCCAGAACCGTTATGTCGGTGAAAGTGTGCTGCGGGGGAGGAAGGGG